TCCTAGTCTTGATGAAATATGATACTTAGCCTTATCATCTTTATAGTCGCATCAAGCTGATTTTATTCTAACTGATTTTATCTAATAATGATAGTCTAGAGGATGGACAACATTAGAAATTTTATTTTTGCTCTAAAAATGTTAATATAGAGATAAGTTATTTCTTAATAAATAAATTAATTATTAAGAGAAGTTAGATAATGAATGGAATCCAAATCTTCACATAACGCCTACATTTGAGTATTACGTTAGCAATCAGCAAGAAGGCAACTAAATTGTCTAAAATGTCTAAGGGTGGAAATGAACCAAATAATTAATAAATCATACTCCCTTTAAAAGTACGAGTTAAGGAAAATCTTTTCATGACCAATATTACCCTTAACTTTTTTAAATATTATATTATTATCCTAATCTATTCTAATTATCCTATCTTTTTTAAATTGGTAATTAAACATTTTATCATATTCATAATGTGACTTAACATGTTATTAGATAAAGGAGATACGTTTAATATAATTCAAATCCTTTACTTATTTCAGTTCGTAGAGAACTACAAATATCCCATACATAATTTATAATTTATAAAAAAATATCTAAAGTTTTAAAAACTACAAACGAACACTCATAATTCAAAATTTATAAAAAACACCTTGAGAATTTCTAACTCATTAGTAAATTAAAAACATATGAATTATAAATAGTCTATAAACAATTTATAATCCATAGAAAATACCTATAAGTTTTAAAAGTTACAAAAAACCCCTAAAATTCATAATATTACAAAAAAATACAGTTAGAATTTCTAACTTATAGACACGAAAATGAATATATAGAATTATTAACAACCCCCAGAAAATTAAAAATTTGTAAAAAATGTCATGCTCCCTTTAAAAGTATAGGTTTAGAAAAAACTTTTCATGATCAAAATATTACCTATAACTTTTTTGAAAAGAACATAAGTAATTAAAAATCTATTAAATTTTAAATTTAGAAAAAAACCCTTAAAGTTTAGTATATTGCAAATTAACCCTCCAAAGTTTGAAATTTTTTAATGATTTTTTATAATTCCTTGATTTCAATGTAATATTTAATAGTTTTGTGTATTTATAAATTACAAAATTTAGGGTGTTTTTTATAATTTTTAAAACTTTTGAGGGTGTTTCTTTTATAATTTTTTAAATATTTATTGTGTTTTCAATATAATGCATAGATACATCAATTAATGATGATATTAACAAGTAAGTTGTTCTTAAGATGTATTATGTCATAGTTAAGTGTGCACATCACTTTTCCTAGGTAGTACAGTTATATATGCAAAAATTTTCAGACAATCTATATAGTGGCTAAAAGGATTTTAATTTTAATTTACTATTTTTTATAAATTATATTTAATGTGAATCTACCATATAATTTTAATATATTTGATTGATTGACTATATAGGTATATAGACCATAGATTACTTTACTTTCTCACATGAACTAATATTAGGCGCTTAATAATTTAAATTATTACTTCTAAATTTAATATAAAGAGGAGCTCTAATAATATTTATTTATTTACTTAGAGGACAATACAATCTTAATTTCTATTTTTTTCTTGAGATTTGTTCGATAGTTATGTGTATCAAAGTAGTAATTATAATAATAATTATTTATGCTTAAATTAGGATGATTGTAGTTGCCAACTCACTATGGAATTTCTATGAATATATATACCTTATTTTCTATAGCTATCTGCATTGCCCATGTATATTTTATAAATTAGTTGTTAATTTGACATATTAAATTATTTTTCCTTTGTATTTCTTCTTTGACTTTTGAATTGTGTAATCACTATATCACCATTCTAACGTAGAAATAACCTCACTCTAAATGACTTCAAACTAATATTTAAGTTGAATTGAAGTATATACTATTGCTACTATATGTATATATTTTAAAAAAAAATCATGTTGATATTTTTTTAACAGAAGAGAATATTCTAACATCTGATATTGTAAAAACTAAATATAACCAATTGAGTTATTAGCAAAAAAGAACTTATATCAAAAAAGCGTGAATAATAAGATAAAGAGGAAGGTTAATGGTATTGCCAACAATAATACTAATAGCAAACTACAATGTAAAGTTAACCTATTTCGTGGAACCCAACTATTGGCTATAAATATCGAGGTTTTCATATATATACTTTATAATTTATTAAACATGGTTATATAATCTTATATAATAAAATTGATTTAATACTGAATAGTAATATCATTGTAATAATATCATTATTAGGAAAAAAATTCGTGAACCAGTATGTGCTTTACGATATATAAGTTATGCACTCCAAATTCTTGTGTCTTTTATAGAGTCAAAAAGTTTGAATATGAGCCTCTAACATTTTGCTCTCACAAGAGCAAAATCCATTTAGTAGATGTAGATATTTCAGATAAGTTATATATCCTATATACAATACAATTGCCCTAGGCTAGTGAGTTATAATAGCATTTTTCACTCACATTGTTTGGGGCAAGATTTGATAGAGATCTTGCATAATTTTTTTTTATTTAGAGCACATAGCTAAATATATCATAATCTTACCTTTGTAAGAAAATAATTATTTATACTTTTAATTTTACTTCTATGATAAGAAGAATGAGATATAAAATTGAATGTAAATATTAGATAATATAAATATGAGTGATATCACAACTAAAAGTTAACGTAAAATTAAGCTAAATTATAACTAAAAATTTAATGGACATATCGCAAGTAAATTTGTATGCAAAATTCATTTGCGAATTGAATGATCATCCATCTTTTGAATACTTTAAGATATTAATAAATGGAGATGTTGTACTAAATTAATGTGTTTATAACTCACAAATAGTAGATCAAGTGGCTACAGTTTGAGTTGAAGAAAACAATGACAATATTTTATTTGAGAGAGAGATTATTGAGTTGATAATCAATCACACAAAAAATTTTGCTTTTTTTTATTTATTTTTATTTAATTTTTATCAGTTTAAATAATCATCATATTCAAGCATCTCAACTAGTAGTTTGATAAATGTTCGAGTAACTATTCGACCATATTCAATTCAGTAGTTCATTTACCATTAAACAAATATTTTTTAGTATTCGAGTTTACTAACGAATAGAATTTAATAAGATGTATATTCGATTTGTTTGTCTATCAAATATTCGTTTAAAATTTGATCACTTATTATTTGTATTATTGCACGTATGATGTCATATTTTTAACACACTTACCATTTCTACTTAAGTTTTATGTACTAATTTTAAGACTTAAATAATCTTAAATCTGTTTTCTTATGAAAATTTTGATTTAAATATATATACATCATATATCATAAAGGAATTTTTTTTATTTATAAATTTAAATATTATTTAAAAATCAAATTCTTTAGTGAAATAAATATAATTTGATATTCCATAAGTATTCATGAATATTCATGAATATTTATCAAATACCAAGTATTCGAGTTCGAGTTCGAAAAACTCCATCTATGAATATTAGAGTCCGCATTTGAATTCAATAATTTTAAACAAAGACAAATACAAACACCTTAGTATTCGATTCGTTTCGATCGTTTACCACCCCTAAAAATGTATTTACCACCTTCATGAGCGTTTGAGAAAATGCCTTGCTCACTTGCGAAAAGTACTGAGACGATTTATCCTCCAACAGAAAATGTTAGTTTAAACTTAAATGCAAGAAATTAAAAAAGATTAGTATCAACTTGACAAAAGACTACAATACTTGGTCATTAAAAAAAATAAAAAAATAAAATAAAGGGGTTCTTTTAAATTGTTTTGTTGAAATCTAACTAAAATAGGAGATCTAGTCTTATCATTTCTATAGTTGTATCATGCTGATTTTATCCTAACTTATTTTATCTAATAATGATTATCATGAGGATGGAGAACGTTAATATAGACATAAGGTATTTCTTAATAAATAAGTTACTTACAATTGAAGTTAGATGTAAAAAGAATCCAAATCTTCTCGTAATGTCTCCGTTCGAGCGTCTCGTTCTCAACCAGTAAGGAGACAACTGAATTGGCTACCATTCTCATCAGCAGCTAAAAACCCTCGTCGCATGTGAATAATTTCTCCATTTGAGTGCCACGTGCTTAACCAAGTTGATTGAATTGTGTAAATTGTCCTCTGCCATTGAGGGGTTGCAAACGTCTATTGGCATGTGAGAAAATTTTGACGAGATTTGCCCCATAATAGAAGGATTTAGTTTCAAACTCATATGCAAGAAATTGAGTACAAAGTTAGTATCATCTTGACATTGGACTACTATTCTTGTTAAAAAAGTAGTCTTAATAAATCTAATATAGTTACGCTGGGGTTGGATAGAGTTTTTTAAGAGGGAAGGAGGAGGAAGGGGATGACGATAATGTTAAGCATCATAAAAATGTGTTTGTTTACACTTTTTAGTTAGCAAGGGGAGGGGAGGGAAGGGCTAAAGTTGAAAATTTATTCACTTTCTTATTCCTTCTAAAGTGGACAAATTGAGAGAAGAGGGGAGAGATCGATGAGTGAACTTTTCTTGAAATTTCAAGATTGCCTATAGAAAAAAAATCAGAACTCATAATTAATATAATTATCTATTATTTCTTTAAAAAGGCATATTGGTAAAATAGCTTTCTTTCCTTTCCATCCTTTAATCTAAACAAACATATGTTATATAATGTATTTTATAGCGTATCCACTCGTCCCTTTATTATCTATATCCAAATACAATTAAACACATTTCACCCCTTCACTTTCCACTCCGTCCCTTTGAGTTTATCTCAATAAGTGTAGACTTGAGTATAGAATTAAAGCAGTCTTAATAAAAGAGAAATTACTGGGGATAAGTTAAGATTAGCAAGTGGAATGACTGACTATTTTCATCTCATTATTTCCATAATGCCCCTATACATTCTTTCCCAAAATACCCCCGCTACTATTTCTCTTCCTCCTTCACCCCTTCCCCTCTCTGTAACCTCCCCAAAATATAACCACCAAAAAAAAGCTACTCTTGAAACTTCTCTCTCATCACTCTCTCTCTCTCTCTCTCTCTCTCTCTCGCTGATGATTCCGGCCAATCTCCAGTCCCCTTGTTCCCCTTCCTTCTAAAGGGGGAATCAAACCCTAGCCCCTCCAAATCGCCATCTTCAGCTTTTCTTCAGGTACTGAGTTTACTCTCTAAAGATCGAATCTTCAGGGTTTGGTGATCCCAAATTCGTTTTATTTTTTGCATTTTAGGTCGGGATTTATGTCCCAAAATCAAACCAGAGGCCGATCGAGCAATCCGAGGGGATTCTCCGGCGGAAGAGGCCGAGGGCGCGCTCAGCCTCCAGTCTCATCAAATTCATCAGCGTCTCGGAGGTAATTTCCGCAATTTTTTTTATTTTGGTTGATTTTTAGTGATTGTTTTTTAACTTTGGGTTTGTAGTCTCAAGAAATCAGGCAATGGACAATCGAGGGCAACTCCCATTGGCACGAATCAAGTACCAGTATCTTCACAAGGTATTTGGTTATTATAAGTGATGAATTTCGTAATAAAGGTCTTCATTTCTTCTGGTTTTGATCCTCTCGTTTTGTTCCCATGTGTAGGATCATCGGAGTTGCGCACCTCAAATGCAGGTTCGAGACCGATTCCGAAGGCTCCATCTTCTCAGCCTTCTCACTCAGCAACTCCACCTAAAGGTATCCCTTTTTAGTGCTAATTTTATGTTGGGTTTATACTTAGGAGGGCATTTTATTATTTTATTTAATTGACTGTGTTATATCATCAGTTGTTGTCGTTGATTTTTATTTAAGGTTGTTATGGGTTATATATTTAGGAAATTACTGGCAAGTTTAGTTCGACAGGGTTCTAGAAATTGACTTGTGACAGGATCCCAATTGATGAATGCTGATTTTTTCAGTCAGTGTTCTAGTCAGAAGGATGAACTTTTATGGTGTTTTCCTCTTTTAGTTTACAATGATATTATTTTCAGGGGGTGCATCGCGAGAATCATTTCCTCTTCAGTTTGGGAGTATAAGTCCAGGGATCATGAACAAGATGCAGGTCAGTATACATTTGAAGCTCCAAGTTGTAGTTTTTGGTATGCTTCTTTGCTTTCATTTTCATCATTTTATCTGTCAAGTAATTCGTTTTCATTGACTATAGATACCTGCTCGGACGAGTTCTGCCCCGCCGAATTTGGATGAGCAGAAGAATGCACAGGTTTGTTAATGTCAGACTCATACCATAACAAAAAATGATATTTCTTGAGCGAAATATGCAGGGTGCACTAAAAACTCACATATTGGATGTTTATATGGTTTCTGAAATTTTTTAGCAAACCCGATGCGTAACTAATCAAACATATTCTTGCTGTCCTGGTTGAGATTTTTAAGTTCTCCTAATTTAATTACTATCGAATGCTTTAATGCACATCACATGAAGTGAAATAATTATCTCCTAGAAGTTTCCATCCATGTACTAGATTTTCGCCAGATACTTACTATTGATTGTCTGTGCTGTGTATTTTGATATTAACTAAAAAAAGTGTCCCAACTTCAGATGCAATTTGGAGCCATATAATGGTTGAAATGACTTCCAGCAATCCTATGCAGCTCAAGCTTCAACTTGCAACTAATTCATGTAATACTGATATATAAACCCCAATACTCTTGCTTTCCTAGAAATTCACATGGTTTCCATTAATTTTCATGTCTTTAAAGGCACATAGATGAAAATC